GTTAAATGAGTTAGGAGATCCTATGAGATTGGAAGCAAGGTGTGGGAACAGTAAAGGCGTGATCAGTGGCACCTGGTTGGGAAGGAGTGGCATGCAGTAGAGTGAGCATGTATGAAAGAAAGCCTGAAGGAAAGTGGAACAAAAAATAACTAGCTGAGGAGTTAACAAATGCACTAGAGACTCTTAAAAGGCAGAGAGTTCGTGTGGAAGAGACACTGGGGGGATAAGGACACATATGTAATACCTTAGTCAGTAAAGAAAGAAAGAGAAAAGGCACAGAGATCAACATAAAACAGCCCAGCTAGAAGGTGCCCTCTGGAGGAGGAGAACTGTTACTGTTGTGGAGACTGGAAGTCTGACCTTGAGAAACAAGTAAGACTTGGTGAGGCTGTGCAGGAAGCCTTCTAGGTGTTTCCACCACCTGGTGGGTCATTTTCAGAGCAGTATATGTACACAGTAGTGATCACCGCTCACTCGTCCAAGTGGCCTGATGGAGAGAAAAGAGGGAATATCCAAGAGTGGAATCATGGCAAACCACATGTCTAGTGTCCTAGGACAAGGCATGGAGATGAAGAGGCAGGGGAAAGAACAGACAAGGACGAGTGGCTCTCCTATCAGCCTCAGAAAAAGGGCCACATCTGTGTCTTAGCCTGGAGAGAACCACGCACATATCACCAGCAAGAGCCTCCCAGAGGGGACATGGAGGAGGAGGGACACTGCTGGTGCATAACAACCCAGGTTTGGGCAAAATAAAGAGCTCCCCCTTCGGGCACTGTGTGTCTGTTAGGAGAGAGCACCTCCCTCTTTGGGGAAGTCAAGTCTGCTTCCTCTCCCAGGTGCCTCCCTCTCCCCGAAGGGAAACCTCTAAGGAGAGGCCCTGGAGCCTCCATAGGCCACAGAACCAACAAGTCTTGTCCAGATACCAAGCCTGGAACTGATATAGGTCAGGACAGAGGTGCTCAGACCCATGACCTCAGTACTTGATTCTCACAGCCAGGGGATGGGGGAGGCCAAGTTCATTTAAGCAGTCAAATGCTACACTTTATCCAGATTGGGAATATGTGTTCAGGGATATTTTCATCTTTGGAGCAGGTGGTTTGAAATGCAAATAAAGTACTAAGTGTCAGCGCTGTATCCTAGCAGTAGCTACTTTGCAAACGTTACCATGGCACCAATTCAACAGTGTTCTTAGAAGCAGCCACACCTCGGCAAGTTCTTTCTACTTGGGACAGCAAAGTTCAAGTGAACCAACAGACACACTGCGGCGTGAGAGAGTCCTGAACCGATACAGAAGGTGAATCGCTACAGTACAACTGCCGTCTGAAGCTGTTGGAAACAGGGCCTCGAATTTAAAGAGGGAAAGAGAAGAAAATGGATCATCTCCCAGAACACCTGGAGTGTGATCCAAGCCTGGAGACAAAATGACGGTAATTATAATTGCTAGCGTTTGTTTTTAGCTGCTACCAGATTGCGAAAGGCAAACGCCATTCTCCCGTTACTCCAGTGCACACTGTGCTTTAGCAGTGCTCGCGGGCGAATCCTAGCTGGTGAAAATACAGCAGATTGTCTCATTTATGTTAAAGTCAGGCAAGCCGCCCTCCCACGGCAGGCTGCAGTGCAGGGGCCACTCACAACCGGATGACAGAGCTGGTTATGCAGGTCTCTGCTCCTCACTGCCCATAGACCTACGGAGAAGGGGAGGAGGGGAAGAGGGAAGGGGGACAGGCTAGAAAGGGTTAAGAGGGGTAGGAACATATGTAATATTTCCAACAATAAAGATTTATTTTTAATATATTTTTATTGTTGATAGTATTACAGATATCCCCCATTCCCCTCCCCCTTTACCTTTCTCCCAGCCCCTATCTACCACACACACACACACACACACACACACACACAGACACACAGACACACACCCAGATCTTCACTACCCTATTGCCCATGTCCATGGGCTATGCATACAAGTACTTAAGTTCTTTGGTTTATCTCTTCTCAACTCCATATAAAGTTTACTTTTTTTTTTTTAAAGAAAGAAAAGGACTAGGTGATAGGACACAGGATGCTGGGGAAACAAGTCTTAGCCAACCCCCTCTGACCAATCAAAGTTCCTGAGATAGGTCCTGGGCCCACCAGAGCATGTCTCTGCCCGATTAGGGGGAGAATGAAAGGACAGACACCAAACGTTAACAATACAAGACAGTCTGTGGTCAGTGGCTAATTGATATGAACCACAAATGGTGCTGGGAGTTCAAAGGGGCTCCTCTTCAGATGAGAGAGATCAAAGAACAACCCCAAATGAAGACTGAAAAGGGGAAAACCTCGCCAAGAGGGAGTCACAGTTGGGTGACACTAAAGAGTTTGCTATCAGCAAGAAGGAAACTCCAGAGCTTCTTCCCTGACACAGGAAGGCCATGGTCCTCAGACCTCCTTACAGATGGTAATGGTGCGCCATCCACTGCTAAAACAGCCGCAGAAGAGGAAGAGTGCAAAGGGGGGAGTGCTGGGGTTTCCAGGCAGCCTTTATCTCGAAAGACACAAAGACCTCTCTGCGTCCCAAAAGGGTAATTCTGGGACCATCATATAGAGTTAACTCCACTCACCACTGCGCCTCCCCGCCACCCCCACCCCCCCCCCCAAAAAAAGCAGAAAAGGGCCCCTTGGTACCATTTCCATGATATTGTAGCCAAATCAATCTGTAAGTTTCTATGGGTGAATTGAAATTGTAATTTGAGTAGTAACCCGGATATTAGGTGTGCCACCCAATGGCAGGCCAGATCCAGGGCACAGTGGTCAAAAGAGAGTGAGCCTTTGGGCTTGGTTTCAGCAAGTTTTGATATTCAGAGAGACCCAGTCCCATGGGTAAGACCAGAGAGCAGGGATGCTGGGAGAAAACAACGCTCAGGATCAGGGTGAGATGGGGTCAGGTCCCAGGGGGTCCGTCTGTTGCCAAGGGTTAAGCAGAAAGAGTCCAGGGCCCCGAGGAAAAGCTGTGCCAGGTCTAGGAAGCCTCGGGGCAGGAATTCAATGCAACGCTTAGGAGGAAACTGAGGCAACCCCCCAATCCTGCAGACTAAGTTGACAAGACAGAGGTTGGGAGGAGTCTGGAGTATGATGGGTGTGGTGCCCAGGGTTACTGCTGAGAGACTGGTCATTAGGATGATGGTGACATGAGTAAAGTCACATTCCATCTAGAGCTGGATTGAGGCCCTAAAATATTTTCTGCCCAAGATGGGGTTATACACGGAACTCTGCAGGTCTCAGCCTGGAGATAAATACAGCAATGACTGAGGGGATCTGGGGATGTAATTTTCCTAGGAAGTCATGTGAGGAAGTCTGATCTAGTAATATGACTTCTAGTGATCTACATTAAAGAAAAGAGTCAGTTACATGAACGATTTATTTAAAGAAATATTCATCAAAGTGTTACTTATAATAATAACAATAGGCAGGAACCTGAATGCTATCGTTATGTAGTAAGACACTAATTTGGTGTGGATATTGTGCTTTCTAAAGAATTTTAACAACATAGGAAAATGTTCATGACACAATACTGAGTGAAAAAGCAAATATAAAACATGGCTTTATTTATGTTGGGCTTAACAAGCACACATAGCAGAAAGTCTGGAGGGAATAGACCTGTCAATGGTAATGGAAATGGAAACTGATACAAACTGTCTTGAGTTTTTATTTTTCCTTTATGTATCTATATTACAAAAAACTCTACAAGAAACATGGAATTTTAAACTTTAAAATAGTTTAAAATTACAGTATTTTTAAACTATATTCTAATGCCTATGTTGTTGCTTTGGAATAATAATAACTGAAGAAATATTTTTAAAGGAAAAATAATTACATAAAGATCTTAACAGTTCAGTTTTAACATCCCAGAAACTATCTGAAATATTCTAAGAACCCCATTGCTTTTAGAATAGTAAAGTTTCCAAATTGCTCTAACAAGACCCACTCACTGGAAATAAAACTCAAATGTTGATGGATGCATATCTATGACCCAAAGAATTCTACAAGAAGTCTCTGGTGAGGATGGGATGAGGACATGCGACAGGGGGTAGGGGGAAGGTCAATGGGGGGGAAGGGAGATAGATATTTTTACTATATGTAATACTTTAAACAATAAAAAAAGAAAAAATACATATTTAAAAAAAAAAAAAAGAAGTCTCTAGCAACTACCATGAGATTCCACGATCATATTCCTGAAAGGATAACCACTTCCAACTTATTGTTAACTAGAGGCCCAGTGCACAAAATTCGTGCACTGGGGTGGGGGAATCCCTCAGCCCAGCCTGCACCCTCTCACAGTCTAGAAGCCTTTGAGGGATGTCTAAGCCAGCAGTCGGACATCCTTAATGCCACTGCGGAGGCAGGACAGGCTTCCATCACCACCGCTGCACTCGCCAGCCGTGAGCCCAGCTCAGGGCTTTTGGTTGAGCAACATCCCCCCTGTAGGAGCTCACTGACCACCAGAGGGCAGATAAATAACCTTATGGGATAGGAACTATTCCGAGCCTCATTTTATAGACAAAGAAGCCCCCTGATGTTAAATAACTTGCCAAAAATCACTTAGCTGGTAAGTGCCAGGGCCCTGATTTGCAACAAGTCTGTTTCTAGAACTTGCACCATTAACCCATTTGCTCTACTGCCTTAGAATCTATGAAACAGGTAATGTATAATGTTTTTCTCTTTTGCCTCTTCCTCTTTCTTAGGAGTCTCAATAAAGCTGAATCCTGAGCTTTCTAATCTATGGATATATATCATTATCCTTTAGACTCAAAATGCTACCATGGTTATTACACCATCTGCTTTAAAGAAAAATATGACTCAGTAAATTAATGCACTGTCTTTACATATATATATATATATATATATATATATATATATATATATATATAAAAATAAAGACGGTGCATTTTCCCCTACACTGGTTTTACATATATTCTCTCTCCCTTGCTTAGGATTCCAGCTAGAAGACACTAAAACTAGCAATGGAGCCATTATATGAGGAATACCTAGCAAGTCGTGGAACCATAGTAAAACCTTATTACTGGCTAAGCTTCTCTCTAGATTGCTCAAATTGTCCTTACCACATTCGGACAGGCGAAGAAGCAAGAGTTTCCTACACAGAATTTTATCAGGTTTTTGGATTCCCTTATGGACCACCCTATCCTCAAACAAGACACCTCACATTTTATGAACTGAAAACGTCTACTGGGAGCCTGGTGCAAAAGGGCCATGCGAGCAGTTGCACTACGAATAACACCCATCCAGAATCAATGCTGTTTGAGACGAATGGTTATTTTGACTGGGCCATATACAATAACAACGGCATCCGGCACATCATTCTGTATTCCACCCACTCCCCTTGCAATGAAGCTGACCACTGCTGCATCAGCAAGATGTACAGTTTCCTGACAACATACCCAGATGTCACTCTTAGTATCTACTTCTCTCAGCTCTATCACACTGACCCCGATTTCCCTGCCTCGGCCTGGAACCGTGAAGCTCTCCGGAGCCTAGCTAGTCTCTGGCCGAAGGTCACTTTGAGCCCAATAAGTGGTGGGATCTGGCATTTTCTCCTCAATAGCTTTGTGAGCGGTGTCTTGGGATCAACTGCTTCCCAGCCCATCTTGACTGGGAGAGCACTGGCGGACAGGCACAATGCGTATGAAATCAATGCCATCACAGGCGTGAAACCTTACTTCACGGATGTCCTCCCCCGGGCAAGAGAGGATCCGAATGTAACAGCTCAGGCGGCCTTGGAAAGCTACTCTTTCATCAGTGCCTTTTCTGGACAGTCTCCTCAAGTGGCAAGTAGGGAATCACAGGCCAATCTGGCACCAGACCTCAGGGTTCCTGTCGTGTTTGTGCTGGTGCCTTTCAGAGACCTCCCACCAATCCATGTGGGTCAAAGCCCATATAAACCCAGGAATATTGTACGGCATTTAAATATGCCTCCGATGACATCATCCCAGGAAGCCAAGGCTCTCAGAAGGCTTCCCATGGCAATGCCAGTGGAGACGATGGCAATCACAGAACAGTCTGGAAGCAGCAGCAAGGCAGATGAGAAGAAGAAGAAAAAGAAAGGGAAGAAATAAAATCGACATCTCTGCAAACAACTACTGGAAGACTTAGAAGACAGCCAACAAGAATCTGGAAACTTTCTCTCTTAGTATGATACACTATAGGCAAAACCTGAATTAGGTACCAGCTTAACTATTATAAAGCTACACTATTTTAAACATAATTCAAAATGTTTCTATAAGCAACTTATTATCTTTCCTTTATTTTGAAAATGACAGTACCCAAGTGGAGCCATTAGTACCACGCTGATATTTTGGTGTAAACCAGAAAATGTCATTATTTCGGTCTACCCATATCATCTTGCCACTGAAAATGCCCATGGACCAAATAGCTTCCTAAATTTGTTTCAGTACTAAAATTTACTATAAAGTTGGAAAACAGCCTGAAGTTACTGACACTCAGTACTGTTTGCAAAAGCAAACCAGTGATTTTTTCCATTACTTATTCGTTGTGGACAGAAAATTTTAGGCAGCCTTTTTTTTTTTTTTCCGAAAGTGGTTCAAAATACTTCTGTGTGTGTGTGTGGGGGGGGGGGGGGGGAGCTCTTTTGCTAATTGATTAGCTACAGCTACAAAAATTGATTTTTGAAATGTAGGCACGTGCTGGGTTTGATCTTTCCCAGCTCACACCTATGCCTCCTGAGTGGATGATAGAGGCAGGTGACACATGAGACTCTCCAAGGTTCCTTCCCTCACACACCATGTAATACCCAAGCCCCTCTCACTGGCTTTCAAGGCTACTCCTCTACCATCCTGTGGCCTGTCTCACCAACAAGATTGCAAATTCCTATATGTCAAGTGCTGTCTCTTTCACTTATTTAGTTTCCCTTTAGGATCTAGCACCATATTCAGTCAAAATATGGGTAGCAAAGCTATGAATCCACATCTCAGAACTTTACCAATCCCTGCTCCCCGACATCTCCATTCCAGCCAAGTGGCCACTTAACTCTCCTGCAATGGACATATTTTTGTTGTTGTTTTTAGCATCATTCCTCCTTCTGACATAGCTCCCCAGTGCATAATTTTCTAGTTCCCTTTTTTTCTGACCACTTCTTTTTCACCAGTGCATATCTATTCCATATCTTAAACTCTTGTTCAAAACACACTTTTAAGAGTGCCCTTTAACCCTATAAGCATGTGCATTAAATCACATTTGCTGCCTCACTTTCCTCTTAAAAGAAAAGAAAAATGTTTAAAATAGGAATGTCTGTTATGATTAAAATAAATTTTAAAATTAAAAGAAATTTCTATTGTTAACCTGAAATTTTTTATAGATTTATTGGAATACTACCAGCCCAGTGCACAAAATTTGTGCACATTAAGAGGGAATTAATTAGAGGAAATATTTTGACATTTCTATTTTCCCTCCCTCTATAATAGAAGTGGCAGAAATGGAAGAAAATGTATATGAAAATCTTCTTCCTGTCAGAGTCTGGGGCATGCCGTAAGACCCAGAGTCAAGTCCCTACCCACCCGCATGCACCTCAAAATCATGCGAGCCCGAGATCCAGCCGGCCCCACCCCTATTGGGTGAGATCCAGACCCGGCTGGCTCCATCCCCATCAAGCTCCTGGGCGGGGGGCACAGCCTCAGGGCCCCCAACAAGCCCCTCGGGCAGAAGGCACAGCCAGGCGGGGGGCTCAGCCTCAGGTTCCCCAGAGCATGTCAGGTGGGGGGCGCAGCCTGAAGTTCAGCCTCAGGTCCCCCAGCCCAGGACAGAAGGTGCAGCCTGAGGTCCCCAGGCCCAGCACTAGGGCAAGGGGTGCACTTTGAGGTCCCCCATCAAGTCCCACCAGGCAAGGGGCATACATTGAGGTCCCCCATCAAGCCCTGCTGAGCAGAGGGTGCAGCCCAAGGTTACCAGTCAAGCCCTGCCAGGTGGGCAGGGAATATAGCCTCAGGTCCCCTGTCCTGGCCCGGCACCATGCAGCCTTAGGTCCCTGCTGATCACTCATTATGGGAACCCGCTTCCACTGTGGGTACAGCCATCTTGTGTTACAGGAAACCAGCCTCCACTGTGCGTGCCGCTATCTTGTGACGGCGTGAGGGTCAGTCTCTGAACACATAATAATCTGGCCACTCAGTGTATATCCTATATAATAAAAGACTAATATGCAAATTGTCCTCTTGACAAGGAGTTTGACCAGCAGGCAGGCTGGCCAACCCATGTATACACACACACACACACACACACACACACACACACACACACACACACACACATACACACACACACACACTGAGTGGCCAGATTGTTGTACGTTCAAGATCATAATAATCTGGCCACTCAGTGTATATAGGATAATTATTTTTTGGGTATATATTAATTGTTATTTAAAGAGATATTTTTAAAGTTTAGTAGATCATAAAACCATGTCGACAATTTGGGATGTAGAGTTTAAAAAAAAAAAAAAAAAGACCCCAACATGACAAATGCAGCATCTCTGATCATTATCAGAATAGATCCAGGTGGACGACTCCGCTAATGACGTCAGCAAGTCTGGGAGGCCCGGGAGCGATTCTGAAGCTTCTTGCAGTGGGAGAGTCTGCCCAAAATGTTTAACTCACAAAAAGAAGACCACAATATCAATCAAGCTACAAAGGATCCAGTTAGAGACCGGTCTGAAATTTATGATGAATTTGTATTTCAAATGTGAACCTGGATACCAAGTATATAACAAAAGGAGAGATGTTGCAAGAACTATAGAAAAGAAAAGTGCTTGGGGCATTTAAACCTTATACTAGTTAGATAAGACTGGGGCTAGGGAGAGGAATGTTACTGAGAGATCTAAAAAAGGCAGGAAAGTATAGCCCAAGACACTGAGTATGGTGGGGGAGGGAATCATCACCTTGGTAAATTCAACATGGTCCCGGGTTTGACTCTCAGTTTTGTAAGTTCAGCTACTACTAAGTCAATACAGAGAGAATGGATTTATTAACCAGGAGCAGACCTGGATTAACAGAGCTTCCAAGAATAAAACGTAAAAGCAGAAAGCTAATGTACTGATTTCCAGTGAGACTGACAACTGGATATGCAACCACATATTCAAGTTGTCCAACCTTGACAGCTTTACCCTGCAGATAAACTACATGAGCAGCTACTATAATTAGAAGTTTACTTTGAGGTTTAGAAGAGCTCATTAAGTGATTCAAATGTTAATGCTTTCAGTCTCTGCTTCCTAGGGTTAGACATCTGCCACTTGAAATGAAACAGTGTGATATACACCAGGGCACCTGTCCATGGACAGTGTTTACTAGTAGGTGGGCCCAGAATGTTCATCAAGTTAGAATTTAATCCTGCTAGCCTGGGAACAAATCCTATCTCATTAACTGTTGTTACATCTCTTTTTTGATTCATTAGTGCATGCAAACCAAAATGTTTAACTCACAACATGAAATGTTATTCATCTGATTTCCAAGAGTTTTAAGGAAAGCTGCATGATAACCTATACTAATTAAAACTTGTAAAATAATATTATTACTACCTAACATTTACTGAGAGCTACATGTTATTTTCTAAGCATTTACATGTATAACTCATTTAATCCAATCCTACTAGGCAGGTATTTCAAATATGAACCTGGTGTATAACAAAGAGAGAAATGCTGCCTGAACTATAGAGAAGTGTTCAGGCAGTTAAATTTTTGTACTGAAGCTAGGAAAAAGAATGTTAGACAAGTCATGAGTCCAAGCCAATACTGTCAAGCCTTAAACAAGAGACTATTAAGAGAGCAGAAAGATACATGGCCCTGGGCAAGTAGCTTCTATGTCCTTGTCTGTAAAACAAGAGTCGTGAGCAATATCAGTTCTAAGGTTCCTTTCAACTCTATCTGCTCTAACGTGGCATTTACCAGAGTAATAGTTCTATGAAGTGATTAAAAACAAAAGCTTCAAAATTTGTTCTGTTTCTCATACCAGTCTGCTACTGGCTAGTTATCATTGGCTGAGTGACCTAATCTCTCTGAGCCTTAATTTTCTCATTCATAAAATGGGAGCACTTAATTCCTAGGCCCTCGAGCTAATCTGAGGATTAACCAGTTAACTGCCATGCAATATCTTGAATTTAATTTTAAAAAGTCTGCCACTGGCGTCTATAGAAGCTTATGGTGTACAAATGGTTAAATAAAATAAGTACAATAAAGAGCTTGCTAACCAAGTGTCTAACAAACAATAAACACTTATCAAGTGGCTGCTATTATTAATAAAATATTAATAGGATGATAGTAGAAGAGGATAGGAATTGTAAGATATTTCAAATTCTATCAAAACTATAGTCTGAGATGACTACTTTCTATAAAAAGTAAAAGTATGTTTCTAGAATTTGTGACAATCAGGATAGGAGGAGAAAATGTTGGTTTTAATATTTTGCTTTAATATTTAATAGTAGCAATGAGAAAAGGCCATTGTTCCATGGTCATGGAAGAAACTAAAATAATTCTGAGAAAATATTTTTTGCAACTTCTTGTCAATAAATTGGCAATCTAGATGAAATGTATGATTTACTAGGAAAATACAACTTCTAAGTTTGACAAAAAGAAGAAGAAAGCCAAACAAATCAATAACCACAGAAAATAAATATGATCAAAGATCTACCTCACAAAATATTAGCAAGCCCAGATAATTTGGTGAGCCCATTCTATCAAATAAATAATAGCACAGAAATTTTCTATTATTCACACTATTCTAGAGCACAGAAAAAAAAAAAAAAAAAGCTGGAAATCTTCTCAATTCATCTTACAAAGCTAGACTAATCCTAACATCAAAACCACATGAAGACAGCACAAAGAAATAAAATTATGAACCAGTATAAGTTATACATATAAATTCTGCCCAAACCGATTTGGCTCAGTGGTAGAGCATCGGTCTGTGAACTGAAAGGTCCCAGATTTGATTCCAGTCAAGGGCATGTACGTTGGTTGTGGGCACATCCCCGGTGGGGGGTGTACAAGAGGCAGTGGTCGATGTTTCTCTCTCATTGACGGTTCTAGCTCTCTATTTCTCTCCCTTCCTCTCTG